GGGACGACGCCTGTGGAAACCCTGAATGAGAGAACGGTCCCGCGCCGGAACCCAGCACTGCTCTTCTGGACCGTACCCCTCCCAGTCGACCAGGTACTGGGACGCCTTGAGTCCAACAGGCTGCGGACGGAGTACGCTGGGGCTCCCTCGACGTCCAAGGGAAGGGGAGGTGTGTCGTGGGGTCCAGCACTAGCCAAGGGACCAGCTGCCACCGGCCTGAGGAGAGATACATGAAATGAGGGTGAGATACGGTAATTGACGGGGAGCTGTAATCTGTACGTCACCTCATTGATTCTCCTCAGGACTTTGAACGGCCCCACAAACCGCAGGGTCAGCTTCCGGCAGGGCAGGTGAAGGGGCAGGTCCTTCGTAGAAAGCCAGACCCTGTCACCGGGGTGAAAGACCAGGGCCACACTGCGGTGACGATCGGCCTGTGCCTTCTGCCGGAGGACGACACGCTGGAGACGGGTGTGCACTGTGTTCCATACCTCCTCTGCGCACCGGAACCAATCGTCCACTGCAGGAGCCTCGATCTGACTCCGGTGCCAGGGTGCCAGGGCCGGCTGATAGCCTAAAAGGGTGTGAAGTTATTGGAGGAGTGACGCAGGAAGTTTTGTGCGTATTCCGCCCAAGGCAGAAATGCAGCCCACTCCCCTGGCCGGTCCTGACAGTAACTACGAAGGTACCTACCCAGTTCCTGATTTAACCTTTCCACCTGCCCATTAGATTGGGGACGGTACCCTGAGGTGAGGCTGACCGTGACCCTCAGTCGTTCCATGAAGGCCTTCTAGACACGGGAGGTGAACTGAGGACCACGGTCAGACACGATGTCCTCCGGGATCCCGTAGTGCCAGAAGACGTGAGAGAAGAGAGCCTCCGCGGTCTGCAGAGCCGTTGGGAGACCAGGCAGAGGAATCAAATGACAGGCTTTGGAAAACCAGTCCACAACGACCAGGATGGTGGTGTGCCCCTCCGAGGGGGGAAGGTCTGTGACAAAGTCCACGGAGAGATGGGACCAGGGTTGTTGTGGAACCAGCAGCGGGTGGAGTTTGCCATCGGGGAGGTGTCTAGGTGTCTTGCTCTGTTTGCAGGTGGAGCAGGAAGAGACAAGGTGGGCCACCAGTAATTGGCGGAGAGACAGTCGATAGCATGTGCTATACCCGAGTGCCCGACACAGGTGCTGTATGTGCCCAGGCGAGGAGACGGTCCCGCACATCAGAGGGCACGTAGATACAGTACGTCCCTCGGGACAGTGGGCAGGTGAGGGCTACTGTCTCAGGGCTCGATGGATGTCCGCGTCCACATTCCACACAACAGGAGCCACAATGCAGGAATAATGGGTGTCACTTTCTCCCTCCGATCCTCTGGGTTGTGGGTGGCCTCGTCCAGACTTTCCACGGAGGTGACACAGATTGACACCTCCCCTGACACTCCTGCGACCAACCCAACAACATCCTCTCTGTCCATGATATACTGGGGTTATGCAACTGTAGCCAGGGGAAACCTAAAACTACGGGGTGTGCAGGAGAGTCTAAGATAAGGAAAGTGATGCGTTCATCGTGGTTGTGATTAACTGTGAGTGAAATGGGAATTGTGGTCTGGCGCAGTCCTGTTCCTAGGGGAACGGTTGTCTAGGGCATGGACTGGGATAGGGGGTTGTAAAGGGACTAGAGGAATGAGTAATGATAAGGCCACTGACCGGTCTAGGAAATTGCCTGCAGCACCTGAGTCCACAAGGGCAGGACTCAGTGGGGGACCAGGATAGTCAGGGAAGGTGACAGGGAGGAGGACGGGCTGGGTGGACAGAGAGGTGTTCCAGGGGTGGTCCGACACCCCGCAGTGGGAACAGAGACCCTGTTGACGGCGGCGTTGACGTTCCGCAGTGTGTGTGTGTCTGTTTATTGTCTTTTGTTTATGTATGGTTGTTATTGTTTGAAAAAAGTATAATTGTAAAAATATGTTTTACTGTAAGTGGCTTTGGATAAAAACGTCTGCTAAATGGCATATACAATGCCTTGCAAAAGTATTCATCCCGCTTGGCATTTTTCCTATTTTGTTGCATTACAACCTGTGATTTAAATGGATTTTTATTTGGATTTCATGTAATGGACATACACAAAATAGTCCAAATTGTAAAATGAAAAACATAACTTGTTTCAAAAAATGCTAAAAAATAAATAACGGAAAAGTGGTGTGTGCATATGTATTCACCCCCTTTGCTATGAAGCCCCTAAATAAGATATGGTGCAACCAATTACCTTCAGAAGTCACATAATCTGTTAAATAAAGTCCACCTGTGTGCAATCTAAGTGTCACATGATCTGTCACATGATCTCAGTATATATACACCTGTTCTGAAAGGCCCCAGAGTCTGCAACACCACCAAGCAAGCGGCACCATGAAGACCAAGAAGCTCTTCAAACAGGTCAGGGACAAAGTTGTGGAGAAGTACAGATCAGGGTTGGGTTATAAAAAAAAGATCTGAGACTTTGAACATCCCACGGAGCACCATTAAATCCATTATTAAAATATTGAAAGAATATGGCACCACAACAAACCTGCCAAGAGAGGGCCGCCCACCAAAACTCACGGACCAGGCAAGGAGGGCATTAATTAGAGAGGCAACAAAGAGACCAAAGATAACCCTGAAGGAGCTGCAAAGCTCCACAGCGGAGATTGGAGTATCTGTCCATAGGACCACTTTAAGCCGTACACTCCACAGAGCTGGGCTATACAGAAGAGTGGCCAGAAAAAAGCCATTGCTTAAAGAAAAAAATAAGCAAACACATGGCTTTTGGCGTTTGGTGTTCGCCAAAAGCCATGTGAAGAAGGTACTCTGGTCAGATGAGACTAAAATTGAGCTTTTTGGCCATCAAGGAAAACGCTATGTCTGGCGCAAACCCAACACTTCTCATCACCCCGAGAACACCATCCCCACAGTGAAGCATGGTGGTGGCAGCATCATGCTGTGGGGATGTTTTCATCGGTAGGGACTGGGAAACTCGTCAGAATTGATGGAATGATGGATGGTGCTAAATACAGGGAAATTCTTGAGGGAAACCTGTTTCAGTCTTCCAGAGATTTGAGACTGGGACGGAGGTTCACCTTCCAGCAGGACAATTACCCTAAGCATACTGATAAAGCAACACTTGAGTGGTTTAAGGGGAAACATTTAAATGTCTTGGAATGGCCTAGTCAAAGCCCAGACCTCAATCTAATTGAGAATCTGTGGTATGACTTAAAGATTGCTGTACACCAGCGGAACCCATCCAACTTGATGGAACTGGAGCAGTTTTGCCTTGAAGAGTGGGCAAAAATCCCAGTGGCTAGATGTGCCAAGCTTATAGAGATATACCCCAAGAGACTTGCAGCTGTAATTGCTGCAAAAGGTGGCTCTACAAAGTATTGACTTTGGGGGGGGGGGGTGAATAGTTATGCACGCTCAAGTACTCCGTTTTTTTGTCTTATTTCTTGTTTGTTTGACTTTTTTTTTTTTTTTTGCATCTTCAAAGTGGTAGGCATGTTGTGTAAATGAAATGATACAAACCCCCCAAAAATCCCCCCCCCCGGCTACAGCTCTAATTGCATGCTCCCTCAAAACTTGAGACATCAGTGGCATTGTGTTGTATGAAACCAGTATAGAAATCTATTGCTATGGTCAGAACACTATTCTGCGACCTCTCAGGTTAACCTCTTGTATAGAAACCAAAAGAAAGATCAGACATGATGAAAATCAGAAATCTTGCACTCTTATTCATCCTTCAGCAGATACAAAAGACACCCGTATGTGGATACGTTAGGAAGGTATGGGTGGTACCATGGTGTTGGGTGTCATTGAGTGTGTCTGTCATGTGTAGAGGAAGGAAAGGGGTGTGGTGTTCAATCAAACGTGACACAGTGGTGTGATGGAGGGTATGTGGTTCTTCTGACAAACAAATACATCTGCTACACTCCACCTCGACCACTACCTGTTTTTCCCCTTTATAAAACTGCCTCCTGGCACTTCTGAAGCACAGTACCTTTGTCCAAGCAGATAGACACGCCAAGTAATCGGTTTTCTATTAGATTCCTTTGAGCAACAAAAAGTATAATCACAATCACCTTATTTTTATGTTAATTTCCAGTGACCCTTCAAGTTTAGAGAGAGCATGATAATGTAATATGAGCAAGCAGTATAAAGTGTACTGCTGACCTCTCTGGCTATGATTCCCATCAACTTCCTAATAACAAGGCCTCATGGGGTACACAGTGTAGCCTCAATACAGTAACTGAACAATGGCCGACACACAAAGCAGGAACATCAATGAAATAGTATCCTGTGAAATGGCTTCAAAAGATGTCATGTAAAACCATGTCATGGAGGCTGAGAGTACTTTCATGATCAGAATAAATATCACTCTTTACCCGATTCATAATGAAAAAACGGTCAATCTGTCTAGGTCTACAATTTTTTTTCTGAGGTCTTGGCTGATTTCTTTTCATTTTCCGATGATGTCAAGCAAAGAGGCACTGAGTTTGAAGGTAGGCCTGGAAATACATCCACAGGTACACCTCCAATTGACTCAAATGATGTCAATTAGCCTATCAGAAGCTTCTAAAGCCATGACATAATTTTCTGGAATTTTCCAAGCTGTTTAAAGGCACAGTCAACTAAGTGTATTTGCAGTCAGCTTTGTTAGAGATAGAAAAACATTGACCTAAATGAATAGTACTAACTTTCAATTGAGGGATTTACCGTTAAAGCCGGCATTCAATCCGATTGCGCTTTACCGACAATGCACCTTTTAAAAGGCAACGTTTCTCGGGTTCGCCGAGACCGCGTTCACAGTATGCTCAATCAAAAATTATCTCGACAGTAAAGCACGATCGGATTGAATCAAGGCCGTAGTCATTTAGTGCCTGACCTTTGTAGAGAAGAGATCAGTTTAGTGTAGCTCGTGGTTGCCACCTGATGACCTCATACATTATTGGAAAGATTCATTTCAGAACCTGCAGTTACTCAGACCCATCTTGTGATTGATTGTATTGTATACTGTTTGAGGCTGCTACTGTGGGGTGTAATGATGTCAAGTGGATTAATTGAAGACCAATGCCAGAGATTACATTTTTATAAAAAGAACTTTAGAGAGTTTATGATAAATACACTCCGGGTTTGTAAATACAATTATTGAAAAAAAATTATAACAGAATATGAGAACGTCTATTCTAGCAGAGTGAACCCATCCCATTGAAAACAAATCGACATATTACCCAAATAAAACAAGACAGTTCTATGAGACGTTACACATAATGAAAATCACAGACTTTGCACTTGTGTTTGGCAAACAGAAGACCCATTAACGACTGTCTCCACAGACTGTGTTTATGGATATGTTGTTGCATTATGAGGCTGTGCTGACGATGACTGTCTGTCCCCATAGAGAGGTAATGATCAGGCTTATGTCTTCACAGCTGTATCTCTGGATTTGTAGATCACTCCTCTGCTCTTCAGCTCTCTCACCACCCCTGCAGGTAAGAAAGAAGAACAACGCTGAGAGAAGTTCACACAGTGGATGGGATTCAATGACAGCAGCCTGAGAACCCAAGAGGATTCTGCTGTTTGTTTCCTGATTTTGACCACATAACACCATTTTGACCACATATGCCAACATTTTCTCAATGGATCCTATAGTGTAGACGGTTGAGAATATACACTAACTGACTTTGAACACGACAAGTCCCGTGTAGCTCAGTTGGTAGAGCATGGCGTTTGCAACGCCAGGGTTGTGGGTTCGTTTCCCACGGGGGACCAGTATGATTTTTTTTTTTTTTTAAATTATGTATGCACTCACTAACTGTAAGTCGCTCTGGATAGTATAAGAGCGTCTGCTAAATGACTAAAATGTAAATGTAATTACCTGGAGGTAACCTCCCTGTCACCGTCACAGCATAGACACCAGGCTTGAAGTTACCTGAACAGGAAAAGTGAAATACAAAACAGCATTAGAACATTATAGGCAGTCCTGTATGGGTCAGTGGGTAGAGCATGTCCATTGCAACGCAAGGATTGTGGGTTTGATTCCCGCGGCCACCCATATGTAAAATGTATGCACGCATGACTAAGTCACTTTGGATAAAAGTGTCTGCTAAATGGCATATATTTATTATGTATTACAACATAATTAAATGAAACTTCAAGGAGACGTTTGAAAGAACGTCTGACCAACAGGATAAACTTACTGATTCTTTGCCACTTGGCCACCCAGCTGTCCTCAGGGCTCATCTGGGCTATGACCCTGTAAACAGAGACCGAATACTTTATCAATTAGCGCACACTCGCTGTCTAGAACGGGCACTAAATCAATCTCCCATCTCTGAAAAGTAATCAATTACAAGTAGAGAACTTACCCATCAAACGAGGAACTTGTACACTCATAGACCATCTCTCGATTCCCCTTCATCTGAAGGTACGACTCACAGTTGTCACAGCCATCATATTCAAACTGGTCAATAGTCTTTGTAGGGACAGGAGAAATATGGATTCAATGAATACACATGGCTAACTGGTTAGCTAGTCATGTTAGCACGTTACACAAACATTTCAGCAAACTTTGCGTTTAATAGATATTAGCAAGCTTTTTAAAACGTTTCGTTCGATAAATTGTAAGTAGCTAGGAAAACCTCTCAGGTAAGCTAGCGTCTACGAATGTATGCCATTGCTAGTTGAAGAAAGCAAGTGGTCGACTTTGCTAACGTTAGCTAGCTAGCTAGCATTTACCTTCACGAGAGAGCACAGAAGACATGCCCGCAAATGGCGGAGGTCCTTAGGACAAGTCTCCAAAGCCATCGAGAAAATAGCAGCTGATATTTGAGAAATATATCTGTAAAATCAATAAAATAAAAGCGTTTCAAAGGGCGTTGTTTTGATTTCCACCACTGTTAAACAGGCAAGTTTAACTAAGTACTTCCGGGTGACGGGTGACGTTTTTTTTGGAATCCTTAGTTTCGAGTTATAATGTTACGTACACTGTGAAATGCCTTTCTTGCTACCTCTAAACCCAACAATGCAGTAATCAATAACAATGTCATACAAAAAAATAACAAGGTAGAACAAAAACACACGAGAAATAAACATACGAAAAACATCAGAAAGTAAGTAAGTATACCGAGTATACCAAACATTAGGAACACCTTCCTAATATTGAGTTACATCCCCCCCTTTGCCCACAGAACAGCCTCATTTCGTCGGGGCATGGACTCTACAAGGTGTCGAAATACACTGCTCAAAAAAATAAAGGGAACACTTAAACAACACCTCCTAGATCTGAATGAATGAAATAATCTTATTAAATACTTTTTTCTTTACATAGTTGAATGTGCTGACAACAAAATCACACAAAAATTATCAATGGAAATCAAATTTATCGCCAGTGGCGAATTTGACGAATTTGCCAATCTTGGTGTTCTCTAGCAAATGCCAAACGTCCTGCACGGTGTTTGGCATTTGTGCTGTAAGCACAACCCCCACCTGTGGACGTCGGGCCCTCATACCACCCTCATGGAGTCTGTTTCTGACCGTTTGAGCAGACACATGCACATTTGTGGTCTGCTGGAGGTCATTTTGCAGGGCTCTGGCAGTGCTCCTCCTGCTCCTCCTTGCACAAAGGCGGAGGTAGCGGTCCTGCTGCTGGGTTGTTGCCCTCCTACGGCCTCCTCCATGTCTCCTGATGTACTGGCCTGTCTCCTGGTAGCGCCTCCATGCTCTGGACACTACGCTGACAGACACAGCAAACCTTCTTGCCAAAGCTCGCATTGATGTGCCATCCTGGATGAGCTGCACTACCTGAGCCACTTGTGTGGGTTGTAGACTCCGTCTCATGCTACCACTAGAGCAGGGGTGTCAAACTCATTTTAGCTCAGGGGCCACATGGAGGAAAATCTATTCCCAAGTGGGCCGGACCGGAAAAATCATGGTATATATAACTTAAAAACAACAACTTCAGATTGTTTTCTTTGTTTTAATACGATCAACATACAACATAAAGCTGGAGCCTGAGGACAGTGTGTCCAAAATAGTACAAGCACAACATCACTATTAATCATAAAACACGTCAAGTTTATTTGAAAATTCTAAAGAAAAAGAACACACAAACACACACTGCCTCAGTGATTAACAGAACTGTTTCACAGATCACAGAACTATATCAGGGTGTAATTTCTCAGGCAGAAATGTAGATAAAAAATAATGAAATCCTGTTCCCCAAACAAGTGCAAGAACCACAGAGTCAAGAATAGGTTAAATATACAAATAAAATAAAATCAATTAAAAACAATAGCACATCAACATAAAAACATATAAACATAAAGCTGGAGCCTGAGGACAGTGTCCAAAAGCACAACATCACTATTAATCATAAAACACCTCAAGTTATTTGAAAGTTCTGAGGACAAAGAACACACAAACACACAATGTCTCAGTGATTAACAGAACTGTTTCACAGATCACAGAACTATATCAGGGTGTCATTTCTCAGGCAGAAATGTAGATAAAAAATAATGAAATCCTGTTCCCCAAACAAGTGCAAGAACCACAGAGTCAAGAATAGGTTAAATATACAAATAAAATAAAATCAATTAAAAACAATAGCACATCAAAATAAAAACATATAAACATAAAGCTGGAGCCTGAGGACAGTGTCCAAAAGCACAACATCACTATTAATCATAAAACACCTCAAGTTATTTGAAAGTTCTGAGGACAAAGAACACACAAACACACAATGCCTCAGTGATTCACAGAAGTATATCACAGATCACAGAACTATATCAGGGTGTCATTTCTCAGGCAGAAATGTAGATAAAAATAATGAAATCCTGTTCCCCAAACAAGTGCAAGAACCACAGAGTCAAGAATAGGTTAAATATACAAATAAAATAAAATCAATTAAAAACAATAGCACAACAACATAAAAACATATAAACATAAATCTGAAAGCGTTGCTCAAACTCCCGTAACAGTCCCGTTATTTTATCTTTGAACGGCTTCATGTCTGCCACATGTTGGGTCGCGCACACATTTTTCAGACAGGGGAAGTGAGCTGCATCACCACCGGCAAGTTGCGTCTCCCACAATGACAGCTTCAACTTGAAAGAACGTATGCTGTCATAATACTGCGTGACAACTTTGTTGCGCCCTTGCAGCTGTTTGTTCAAGTTATTCAGGTGCTCTGTAACATCCACCATAAATGCAACGTCCTGCATCCATTCTGCGGAATGAAATTCTAACACTGGTTTGCCCTTTTCTTCCATGAACTGTTCAATTTCTTCTCGTAAATCAAAGAAATGCCTCAGCACAGCACCTCGGCTTAACCATCTTACCACAGTGTGGTATGGCAGGCCATAGATGTGGTCTTTCTCTCTGAGAAGGCTGTCAAACTGACGGTGATTCAGGCTTCTGGATCGGATGAAATTAACAGTTTGGATGACCACCTTCATGACGTTATCCATCTTTAATGACTTGCAACACAAAGCCTCCTGGTGCAAAATACAGTGAAAAGTCAAAAAATCACGTCCTCCATTTGCAGATTGCACTTTCTCTCTGAACTTTGTTACAACGCCTGCTTTTTTCCCGATCATTGAGGGCGCACCATCTGTAGCCAAGCTGACAGCGCGGGACCAGTCCACTCCGACCCTGTCCAGCGCGCCGACGAGTGCGGTAAAAATATCAGCTGCTGTCGTTGTATCTGTCATCGGCACCAACTCCACGAACTCCTCGGTGACGGTCAATGTGTCATCAACTCCGCGGATGAAAATGGCCAGTTGTGCAACATCTGTAATGTCCGTGCTTTCATAAATTGCAACCGAAAACGCAATAAATGACTTTACTTTTTGCTTCAACTGGCTGTCCAAATCCACTGAAAGATCGGAAATCCTGTCTGCAACTGTGTTTCTTGTCAGGCTGATATTTGCAAAAGCCTGGTGCTTTTCAGGGCACACAATCTCTGCTGCCTTCATCATGCATGTTTTTACAAATTCACCCTCACTAAATGGTTTTGAAGCCACTGCGATTTCATTAGCAATGAGGTAGCTAGCTTTCACTGCAGCGTCACTGATGTCTCGGCTGTTAGTAAACACAGACTGCTGTTTCTTCAGACCCGCCAACAGTTCATTCACCTTCTCTCATCTCCGCTGTCCTTGAAAGTTGTCATATTTGTCGGCATGAAAACTCACATAGTGGCGACGAAGGTTATATTCTTTCAGCACTGCAACATGCTCTGAACACACCAAACATACAGCTTTCCCATTCAATTCCGGGAATAAATAGAAGGATGACCATTTTTCTTGGAACACTCTGCACTCTGCGTCCACTTTTCTATTTTTTGACAGAGACATATTGGGGCAATGAGGGTGCCAAAGCACATAATGTTAAAAGTAGAAGCCGTAATAAATATCGCGGGCAAAACAAAGTAGCTCGTTGGCTGCACGTGCTTGACCTACTTGCTCTGCCCCGGTATAAACAGTTTGCTTGCTTAACACAATTGCTATTGCGCCATCCAGTGGACGCAATTGGAACAGCAGTTTATTTTATAGAAAAATTGCAGTGCATTTTTATACTTGACAAAATTATTATTATTATTATTAAACCCAGCAGTTCTTGACACAAACCAGTGCACCGTGGCACCTACTACCATACCCCATTCAAATGCATTTAAATATGTTGTCTTGCCCATTCACCTTCTGAATGGCACACATACACAATCCATTTCCTTCTTCTTCTATGGTATATTGGCTATCACATATTTTAATGTCCATCCTGCGGGATGGAAACAGGATTCCCCCAAAAAACTGAACCACCAAAAAAAAAATCAAACAACTTTCCTGTTAAAAATAAATAAAACAGATCTGATCCCTACACAGGCTCAAGGGGTACCTGGGAGGGCGGGTCTTCCGGCGCCAGTACCCCTTGCAAGTCTTCCGATGTAAAATCCTTGAGTCCCAAAACTTTTTTGCTGCAGCCACAATAATGTCTAGTTTCTTCGACTTCTTTGAGACTTGTGCTGTACAGTTTATAGCTGTGGCAATGAACGCAACAAAATCCACATTTTTAACACACAGGGTATATTTTGTCTGGCAGCAAACATTTACTACAGGCTGTGGTGTATCCACTACCATATCTTCACTAGAATCACTTGTTTTCTCAATTATTTTAAATCGCCTCCGCATAGGAGATTCGATTGACCACTAACTTTTGCCACCTCAATTTCCTTCACCCTTACAGGGCACTCCAGGAACTCAGTTCCTGGAGTATATTTAACATTTTCATTTGTTTTATATTTATATATATATATATTTTTGTTTTTTCTTTTTTTAAATAGTTATTATACACCCATGGCCACATTTTGAGGTTACTGTAACTATAATATATTCTTATGTAAAGCGTGCATGTTCAAGATAGCATGCGCTGGTCGTCGCAGGTCTGTGGAGATCTTCACAATTGCTGTAATAATCTGTGCAGAATCTCTCACTTGCACCATAATTGTAGGCCTACTTTTAACGTAATCTCAACTGCAATCCAAGTCATTTGGTTCTGCTATAAAATGAAGCACATGACTGTTGTATAAATAAACAAAATATCTGAAATTGTATTCCCATTTGAACTTTGCTGTGCTTTGAAATGGTTGAAAGCACAGTGATAGACATTTGGGTGACAACTAACCTTTGGCTGTCTTTTTGAGTGGGTGAATAAAGGTTGTGATCTCATTGATCAACTTCTCAACTAAATATTACCCAATTATACACGTTGAAATAGGGTGACCACATGTCCCGGGTTGTGCGGGACAGTCCCACATTTTTGGCCCTTTGTCCTACATCCTGCAACCAGACAATTATGTCCCGCATTTTATCAACA